AATATATCCGTTAATGTGTCTATACTAGAGCCGGTCCGTACTTCCAATCCCTAGCTTTGAAATCGTGGCTACCTAGCGAATCGTGTCCACCAGATACACGATATACTTGCTATTGTGTCTCTTGTATACAAAGACGATACAGCTCGAAGTGAAGACATTCGAGCTGCTGATCGATATTTCAAAATACGAACCTGCTTGAGCTACGCGAGGACAACAATTTTTTTAATGCACGTCAAAATCAAAGCCAGAGCCTGCCTAAACCACGACTTCTTTTTTGCGTGACCATTTTTGAGGCCGGGATCTCTCACATCTAGAATTACCGCTCGACTTCCCGGAGCTGTCGGCGCTACCAATATTCTCGCTGGTGTGTCTCTTCAGCTTACGGGTACGAATCCGGCGTTTGTTGCGTGTATGATGAAATTAAGGTGTAATTCGTCCAATGCGAATGCCAGAAGTCGAAGCAAGACGCTAGCACATCGTTCACCGAAGACTTCGCTGTGTTGCAAAGTAAGCCCGAGCTGCTAGAGCGTTTCTAGAAGCCGTTTCAGCTTACACCCGCCGCATAAAAGCGGAGTCTCGCCTCCGAGCATATCTCCATTCGCTTTGAGCACGGAGCCGATCTTATAGGCGCGCTGACGGCGTTTTCGAGCTTGTGTGGCACTGCATTAACGCCACTCGCCAGTCTGCACAGGGATGTGTAGGGCGGCTTCTCGATATCTGCTCAATTTACCTGGAGCCCTCGGTGGCGCAGTACCTGCTGCCAGACTTCCAGGTGAAGCTGACATAACTCGAGATGAAGCCGCTTCAAATATTGCACGTGTGATAGCTTGCGCTCACCATCCCGCACCAGCCGGCGGTTAAAGACAACAAATAAATGGATAATTTCTTGATCAATAAGACTCAGAAATACGACATGTAATTTTTCCTGTATTGTCTGGCTAACTGCAACGAGTATCTACGTAGAGAATGTAGTAGACACGAGTAGTCTGAATGGTAAAGTTGCGTTTTAAAATCGATCTGTTACGACCTGTCGGAAGTCGAGGGGGGGGGTCCAGAGGAGCTAAATACATGTTGAAGATTCCGCACCACTACGGCAGGGCTGGAGAACTTCCATCCTGCATGTGTCGCTTACCGCAGTAAACCTCGGAACTGTATCGAGCACGATAAAGAATGTGTAAGCGTGCAGCAGACTAAGACAGCTTTAGAGCCAAAACACATTACGCACCCAAAGGGGCGATATTCACGTACCGAATGCAGAAATACGTCTGAGAGCAGCACAACATGGAAAGCTAAGCCCCTATTTGTGAGGATTGGCTTGCATATACATGCAATTAAAGACCAATCTAGACAGAAGCATCGCTTCATCAAACGCCATGATCGAAGAAAGCGTAAGTTTTCGCTAGAAAGTGGATTACCAATAAGAAATAATAGACCGCTTCTTCCACGCGCGGTCAGTAGCGGCATAAGGGGCATCATTGCGTCTGAAATGCATGTTGCGAGAGAGGTGAGCAAGCCGATATCGATTCATATAGTGACCGAAGAAGCCACGCAAAATGGCCCCATCGTCGGTAGTCCTCCAGTGACTGTCAACTTTCTCCGAGTTCGGCGCAATTGTTCTGCCAATGAGTAGTCCAATAAATATACAATTCTAAGAGAATTGTGGTCTGGACACACTTAAAGTATTAATAGATGTCAGTATAAAACTTACAAGGGTATTAATTTCATTCATTCCTTACTGACGCACATTACTGAATACAGATAATGACGGTGAAATCCGCCATACCTTTGAAGAACGCTCGAGTCCAAACATGGGCTCCCACCAATGCAGCCAATCCGTTTGTCGAATTTGGGCGTTTCTGTACAATCAACCCAAGATGTATCGATTCCTGCATCGGTTTTGTAGGTTTTGGATTGGGTTTTGTATTTGTGTTCAGACAACTGCCACTTTCAGCCAATCAAATAACTGGGCGGGTATTCCTGTCAAGCGTAATATTTTTTTTATATGAAGGATAGTGCTCAGACACCGGGCGGATTTCACCGTCGCTGTCTGTATACTCCTGCATACTATTTATTCGAGCACTAATATGCGTGAGCACACTGTGTGAGTCGCACAGCGATTACAGGACGGATGTATCCTAAATTACAACTTGGAAAAAAATCCTTACAAGAAGGATATTAACGGTATGGTACATTCGACGCGACTGTTCAGCACTGTCCTAAATGATCCTAGAGAAACCTAATATCCTGTCGTACACGATATAATTCAGGTCCACCGAGCCCATACTCAGAGATATCTATGGAGCAAACTTGATATTGCTCAAGTGACAAACCTGATACGAAATTTATAGGACAGCTAGTCTATTTTATAGACTTGCTGTCCTCAAAATCTCTCTAATATGTGTATCCCACAACTACGAAGTGATGTATGTCTGTAACCAGCTGCCTTGAAATTGTTTGTGTCATGCATCGAAAACACATACGATGTGTGAGTGTTCCCGATGCAGTCGAAGTCGGCAACCTAAAATATATATGTACCAAAAAATGCTACTAGTCCGGACTTAATTTAGTCTGGCGCAATGGTCCTCCAACAGGTTTGTTGTGGGCAGCGAAAACACAAAAAAGCAGTAACTCTATATGTTTTTTGTGAAAATGATAATCATTTTACGTGTTTTTAGAGACTGCGATACTCCATTGCATTTGCACGACTTGGAGCCGAAATTAGTGGAGGTCTACATATTATGTTTACATTTAATTGCGGCTAACGTGACGGAATAGCGTGGAAGTATCTGGTGCTTTATAGTTAAAAAAACGATTGCTTATTCATGAATCCAGGAGAGACTTAGTCGTGCTTTGAAATTAATCGTGCATTCGCGCTTTAGTGACGTCACAAATCTAGGATATTTTAGAAGGCTATCAATTATAATCGAAAGCAGCAATTTTGGGCAGATCTCGGCAATTGCTTTATTCTAGTGTGCTTGGTTTGAATATGAACTAGTAGTGTTTAAATAACGGGCAGTTAAATTCCAAAATTCTGTGCTCCAACCTATTCATAATAATTAGTCATTGCATGACTAATTAGAGTGAACGGTGCATACTTAAATCAATAAAGACAGCTTCAGTATGATAAGCCTGTGTGCCTCCACGTTAGACCTAGGAGCGCACACCGAAGTACATTTGCATTTTATGCATCTTTAAGTCGGCATGCTTCCTCACCTCGTTCATATACGCTGATATTGGCGCCTTATGAAGATATAATGACTCTAGCAATGGCCTGCTTACTGAAGACGACCTGAGTAACATGATAGGCTGCTATACCTGATAGAGAAGTCGTTCACATATCAGGTAGGAAAGGTCTTACTCTAATACGATATTCATTCGGAGTAACTAGAGGTTTGGGCTGGTAGCGCTTGGAGATAAATGTTCAATTCGGTACCGGTAGTAAAAAGGAAAACGATTTGCAATTAAAGGCCTTAAATATCTATGTTACGTAAGGTAAAAAATCCAGGAGCTGCGCATGCTCATTTTTTGTCGGAATTTGATTAGGATTCTGACAATCAAATGGATAAATTCGCTTAAGATTTGTTTTTACCAAGTAAAAAAATGGTGGCCTATTTATACGGCAATTAAACTTTTTACGCCTGTCGGCTGTGTCCAATGGAAGTGACAATCATTTCGGAATTCCCATCGCAAGTCAAACAGAATTTAGCATGCGTTCTGCCAATGTGATCTGCATCGTCCTCGCTTTGGTCGCATTAGTTTCTGTAAGTGATGCCGTCGATACGGCAGATAAAGACAAGTTCCCGACAGACTCCCAGCCTTCACGGAATAAGGAACGAGATATGGTTGGGGCCATCCTATAAAGAACGCGGTACCCGCTCCGGAGCATGGAAAAATTTCAAAGCATGGCTCAAGAAAAAGTTTACCTTCAGGAAGAAAAACGAAACAAGTCGACTACGTAGCTGATGTCAGCCGCGAGTAAGTACAATATATACTGCTTGTGCGTTATACGAACATTTATGTGTATTTTGGCGATTAATTGATATGCTATCGACTTGCTTGACTCCTGATCCAAGGGAACAATGCTCTAGTACAGTAAAGAGCACTCGTGCAAATGACGATATTCACAACATTAACAGCGTTGATATGCACAGCATCGCACATAGTACACTGGACGTAGCAGCTGGACCAGGACTTTGTTCCAGACTCGGTGGTGTCTTTCTGCCAACCGTAATTAGGTACTTCCCTCGTGCCTAATCTAGCGGCATTCGCCTGGGTCACAACTTGTGATTCACAAGTAGTGACATTGAAAAATACATTTGCATCGACGCGAAGGCATTCTTGCTAATCGGAGCAGTGCGTCGAGCGCTCTTTAAGTGGTGATATAACATGGCCCAGGTCATATCAGTTTGCTTAGTGGCAGAAGAGCAACAGTTTCGAGCTCACGACGTAGTAATTCTGCAAGCTCGATATCAAAATGCTGTCGTTTGACAGGGTTGAGCGGCATTGGGGTGTGGAGGCCCAGTCAAGTTGTCGGAATTGGTCGCTACTACGCCGTTGTTGTCTCTTGGCTCCATCTTAGGACCCAGCCATCTCTTCCTGATTTAAGTTAAATCATCTAACGGCGACAGAAGCAGTGACCGTGCGTCTAAAAGGCACCCACAACTGTGCATGTAGCCTGCATTCAGCAGCACCGCGTAATCAGCCCGTCCAACATAATTGCCACGTTAACAATTATTATATGTAAAGTGCCGATCCTTGTTTTCGCGGGGGCGGGTTATTTGGAATTTGCAAATAAATTTGATTTTATTAATAGCTTTTAAATTGTGATTTATTTGGATTATTACATTCGGAAGTTTATTAAAGGTTCAAGAACGCGAAAACGGGGTGCAGTACTGTATAAATATTGGTCATTTATGCAACTTGGATTGCAACCATAGTTTTGATAGGCTAATATTTCGAAGGATAAGGTTTGATTGGCTGAATTGAACCGTGTTGAAGTGCTACAATCGCAGACTTGGATGTCCTCCACGTCTACGATCTGTACGAAGTTTAACTAAAATACTAGACACAGAGAGATTCCTACCGTACGTTTGATACACTCTATCTATTGCAGAGTCGCTAGTGTGTCCAGAGCGAACCAATTGAGAAATAACATCCCAGAAGACTTTCCGCCTGGAGTAGGCGAACTTGTTTGCGCCTCGCTCAATGGATGTAAACTCCTTGGCTGGTTTTAGCCCACCGGATCCGAGCTGATACTCGTGCCAAAGTTCATACAGGTCTTTAGGTCTCTTTGAAAGACGTGCCGCGTTTTGTCCACGAAATCCACCTTGAGCAGTGTTTGTTGGTGGATACGGTACTCCGTGCCCATCAGTAGTACGAGGTGTGAACGGCTGCATGGCTATCCGTCTCAAGATAGCTTGTATCTTTTGCATCTCTCGATGTGACTCGCTTCGGGACCGCAGTACTTCATTCATAACCTCTGCCATGTAGCGACGGCCAGACGCTATTTGAGATTGTACAGCAGCCATTTCACGTTGAGTCCCCTGTCCATTGGAGCCCGCTACCAATGCACTTCTTGCAGAAACAATACTACCAACACCAGATTCCACTTCTTGCGTTTTGTCAATAACGACGAGATTGAGCTGAGACCCGTCCCCCAAGACATAAAATTCTTGTCTTTGAATCGGATTCAAATTCGTACTTCCACCGGCGTTAATGTAAGCCCGTAAAATTCTTTTTTTCAGCTTTTCCGGAAGAAGACAATAATTAAAGCTGGAATCCGTCTCCAGCGCAGCCCACAGTAACACCTGTGCCAATGTTTTTGCTATTGGCTCTCCCATGACCTGTTTAATTGTTGGAGCAATCTCGTCGACGAGAAGTGGTGTAGTGACACACCGCATGCCCTCTTTCAGCGAGTAAAAGCAAGGTCCAGCTGGACCAGCAAGGACTGCGGCGGTGCATGCGTCCGGATAAGGCTGAGTGTTGTCGATATACACGTCGACGACGCCTTTGCGAGTTCTCCACCGTCCTCGCCGATTGACAAAGTCTTTAGATACACCACTACGAGTCGCATAAGTAGCAGCACCTTTACGGAAGCTGTGCGTTCCCAGCTTTCCCGTCTTCAACGACTTAAATTCCGATTTTTTAATTGTGTCAGCTAGAAAACGCCTCACCACTCGATCTCCATCGTTTGGATTTCCAAATAAGAAAGAAGATCTTGCCACATTCACCGTTGCCTCGATGTATACTGCAAGATTGAGCAGGGGACACATTCTGGGATCCATACTACCAACCACAATCTGTTCCGGAGCGTCTCTCTCTTCGGATATATTTTTCGACCATCGCATTTGACATAGAATAGTAGACGGGTACTGAGTGTTGTGAGTGAAATTGTTAAATTGAAGCTTCATCATGTCGTCGATGCGAGCAACAATATGCCACTGCAGTGTCAAAACACTGCTAACCATGAGTTGTTCATCAGAGCGTGAATGCAGCGATCTTACCAGCGTCAACACGTTCATGAATTCATCAAATTCAAAAGAGCGACGAGCTTTTGACTCAGCACCTTCCCGACGAACTTCAAAGCGCTTGACTCTTTTTATGAGCTTGTTGACATCATCGGAGCGTGTTGGATTGCCTTGCATGGCCACGGGGTCCCATGGTGCGTTGATCCTAGGCATGTACGCTGAGATGGCTTTCTTGGCGAACTCCAGCGTGCTCGACCGAAGGTGAACAGGCCTCATGTCTTCGCTGGGCTCTGAATCTCCGTAGGCCCGCGTGTTCATCCAGCGGCACAGCAGTCCAGGCGTGATACTGAGGAGGTCCGCTGGCGTGAATTCGTGGTTAGCAGTGTACTCCTTGTCGTCCTTGAACGACATGAACTTTACGAGCTCTGCCTTGTAGCGGCTAGTGCTCATTGTGGTGGATTGTATTTTCAAACTGAATCTTTCACGTTGCAACCATGACTTAGTTTTTGTATACGAGCTGTGTACCCTCTCGTTTGCAACCGTGACTTAGCTTCACTATAGGTAACTTGACTTGAAATTTGTATACTAGGGTTGCAAAAGTCGACCGTTCACGCTACCGTACATGCAACGATAGTTGCAAACGGCACTCCACATCTAGGCACGGTATCGATCTCAGATCTGGCTGATACCGAGAAGACAGCCAATCGTAGCTTCGGATTTCAAGAAATACAACCCGGGTTGCAAATGGCCAATAATGTAATAGTACGCAAATTGATTAAAACAAAACTTAAATTGAGAGCTTGGACGCAGGGAACCCGAAAAAATACTTTATATCAATTTCAAAGGACATCGAGAAATACATAACGCGCGGCAACATAAGAGCAAATAAATAGTTGGAGCGGGGACGTTGCAAACGTAGATTATTAGTGAAATAAACTACCTAGCCTGGGTGAAGCCAAGCATCCACGGTGGTAAAAGAAGAGAGTAGATTTCGTTGGGGTGCTCCTGGGAAGCTGCAGGATGAGCTAGAATATGCGTGTCGGAGAGGTCGAGGGGCTCCAAACCAACCTTGTTTCCGGGAAAATAAATTTTGGGTCGTGGTACACCAACTTCGTAAATTCATATTTTGCTGAAGCATCTTTCGTAAATAAATTATTGAGAGAAACAATAAAAAAATAATAGGCAATAAATAATATATATATTATATTTACCGGGCTCCCTGCCTTGCAAGTTGGAGGGTACATTTGAAAATAAAGTAGAGTTACAAAAACTACATGTGGCTACTTCAAAGTACTTGTCGATCTCTATCCTTGAAGAGCAGATTGGCTTGAAATGATAGAGAACTACACATATTCTAAAAAATAAGCTTGTTATTCGTAACCTGCTGCTAGATACCTGCAAGGCATTTGGCGGCCAACATCCTGTGCCTTATGCCACCTTGGTGCTGCATTAGCAAATGGGAGGACGCTACCGCAGAGCACGCCCTTCAGTGGTGCCACCACTGTGGTGCAGGGCACAAATACAGCGACTAAACTGATACTCAGTAGATCTATTTACTTTAAACTTACGCAAACTCCATACCTCGAAAAAAAGCTCGTTAACTACTGTAAGAAAAACACTTTTGCGATCCGTAGAGCCTGTTCACTACGTAGCTGGAGATGGAGATGAAGGCAACAAATCTTGCGTCTCCATTTCCAGTTTGGTCGCCAGAGAAATCATGTCCACCTAAATTTCAACCAATCAAACCTATGTTGTTCGGAGTCGTCAGTCAGACAATTGCCATCATGCCAGCACGCCTCACATGCGCTGCCGCTCGAATTGGCATCCTCCAGTTGACAGCAGTAGCACCGACGAGCTATCCCCTCTGGCGTCTACATTCGGACCAGCTGCGGACAAAGTAGTTTTCCCCTCTATGATATCAGGTGATAGCCAGTGTTGCGCCGCAATATCATTCCGTTTGTATGCAGAGAAATGAAGTAAAATGATAGGTCAATAATGGTGTAGCTCTCTGCTATTGGTTGCGATGGCAGCAACTCGTCTAGCCATTCAAGAAGAAAGAGGCCGCGTGCCCCATCACTAAGATAGGTGAAGCCGAGGGATGTAATGGAGAGATGGCCGATGCCAGCTCACTTCCAAAACTGACGGCCTAGATCAACAACTACCTACAGCTGTACGCAACATTTCAAGTACTCCGATGTCCACCGATGCTATGTCTGGCGGTGGACTCGAGAAGTTTAAGGGCAAGTCGTACACAATGTGGAAAGACAATCTTTTGACGCACGTCAATCAACTCGACCATCAGTACCAACGCAAGCAGCTGGAAAAGGGCCAGCCTGAAGCGAAGGTGTTCATGGCGGACTTCCTGCGGGGATGTCCGGACAAGCCACCATCACCGACCAATACTACGGATGAGCAAGAGGCGCTCTCTATCAGATGGGACATGATGCACTGGATGAGAGGAAGAGGAGACCTTCAGAACCTCCTCAACCAAGTCCTCCCAGACTTCTTCCTAAACACGTTGCCGGACGTGGTGTCCTCAATGGAGCCCAGCGAAGTGATTCGGCTCCTGGAAAAGGATTTCGGTCAGGGTGACGCGGCTGGCCTCATCGACTTAATGAGAGCCTGGGCTAAGTTGACACGCGGCCCATGGCGCGACTTAAGGTCGTTGTTCGCGCAACTGAAGAAGGCTAAGAACGAAATCAATAGAAAGACAAAGAAGCTGTTCGATGAAGAAATGGTGACAGAGTCCAGGGTGTGTGTCGAGGTCCTCTCACAGCTGCCTAGCGAGTTCTGAACCTCTTCGATCTCGCTGAAGAAGGGCGATTTGAATATCGATCAGGTCGAGAGCGCACTGCGCAAGATATTTGGAGACAAGTCCAAGAAAGAAGTGGGTCTTATGGATAAGTCCCACCCGATCACCATCAACAACGTGCGGGTGCATGGTGGGCAAAAGCGAAAAAGGGGTGGCAAGTGCTTCTACTGCCTACAGACGGGACACTTCAAGGCGAATTGCCCGACTATGGCTGCCGACAGGGACCCCAACCGTTCAGGTGGACCCCTCTTCCGCATTGACGTTAACACGGTACCAGGTGCAAAGAAGGCCAAAAAGGGCAGGACGACCGCCATCAACACGATCACAGCGGTTGTGAAGGACGGCAAGACGCACGTCAACAAGGACGGAAAGACGCTGTTGGAGGAGTGCATGGAGGATGAGGCTATGGACGACATTGAGAGTTTAAACCCAGCCCTCCATGAGGATTTTGAGGACATGGGTAACTCAAATCAGACCCCAAATGAGGCTCTCCAAGATATGGACCAACTCGAAGATGAGGTACGTAAACAAAATGCATCGTACTTAAAAACGTTAAAGCGGTTAACCCTAACCGATGATATGTGGGTGGTCGACACTGGTGCAGGCCGAGCTATAACATCAGACAGAAGCTGGCTTACTGGGAAGCTCCGACCTGGCCAGAATACCGTGTTCACTTACGGTAATGGAACTGTTTCACACAGCTCTCTTAAAGGATCAATAAAACTTAGCGTTTTAACTCCAAAAGGAAGATTAAGTGACATATCATTGACAGATATTTCGTTTGACCGACAGTGTGATAGCAACTTACTCAGTTCATATTACCTTGCTCGGCACGGTTATAGACACCAACAGTCTAAATCAGGTGATTTTCTGTTCTTTTTGGGAAAGAACTTTAAATTGCTGTTTGCAGCTGTGGCAATAGGCGCAGTCTACTACCGAGCGCGAAACCAGCTAGAAAGAGTGCTTCTAATGCTCAACTAAGCAAAGTTGGAGACATACTAAAGGAATGGCATCTGAGATTAGGCCATGTGGGCAAAGAACGCCTAATTAGAAGCATGAACAATCAGAAACTAAAGGCCATGTGGGCAAAGAACGCCTAATTAGAAGCATGAGCAATCAGAAACTAAGTATCCTTTCTTACTCAGAACTCAAGAAAGTTTCATTCTTTTGTAGTACATGCGCCTCAATGAAGGATCGCAGAATGTCCTACAAGAATTTGATAGGAAACAAATCAACAGAGCCATTGCACACTCTGCACATGGACTCTACTGGAAGGTTGAGGGTTAACGGACTGTATGGTTCCTTCGGCTATCGGTATGCCCTTGCAGTGGTAGATGATGCCACTGCCTATAAGTGGTATTTTGCAGTAAAATCCTTAAAAAGAGGCTCGAGGCAAAATCCGGACCCTCTTAAAACAGTTGGAAGTACAGTTTCCCTTATTAAAGGTTCGCAGAATTAGGACAGACGGTGGGACTGAGTTCCTAAACAGTGAGGTTTCTAAACTGTGTTCTAAACTCGGTCTAGATTTCCAAAGCTCTAACGTCGAATCCCAAGAAGAAAATGGGAGTGCTGAAAGAGCACACCAAACCATGATGCGCTGTGCACTTCGAGGGGCCAATATGCCAGCAAAGTGATGGCCCGAAGCTCTACTCTATATTGTCGATATTACAAACCGACTACCTATGGCGAGGCTCGGGATGAAAACCCCGTATGAGCTGTTACATCGGAAACAACCCAGTGGTTTAGCATTTAGGATCTGGGGCTCAAAGTGTTTCGCACATGTTCCTAAATCAAACAGGAAGGACCCAAAGCTGGGTGATAGGGCAATTGAGTGCAAGCTTTTGGGCCTTTCACCAAAATACAAAGGGTACCGTCTTCTTGATGTGAAGGCGAACAAGTATCTTATAGCGAGAGATGTGAAGTTTAGTTTGACTGGTACAGAGGCTATGATCAGACGCTCGTTTCCCAATGAGGACTCCAGCATTGATCACGAAGAGGTACATGCTATCGGTCAGTTAGGCAAACAACCAAGAGGCACAGTTGCAGGTGAAGTGCCGGCTGACGAAAGCTCAGAACCGGTCACTGACCCACCGACATCCCGACTAGTGGGAGATAAGCGACAGGCTACCAGTGACGTCCGTCGATCAAAACGGCAGCGAACACGCAACGTAAGGCTTAGTAACTACGAGACCCAGCTAAATCTTGTAGCGTCAGATAAGCCAGACAGAATCCCTGTTCCATAATCGATTAAGGAAGCGCGACTAAGTCCTTACGCTAAACAGTGGGAGTCTGCAATCAAGGCAGAATATGATGCTCTTTTAAGGAATAATACATGGGAACTTGTACCATTACCTAATGGACGCAGAGCCCTTGGGTGCCACTGGCTGTTTGATGTCAAGTACCATGCAGATGGGTCTGTTGACCGCTTTAAGGCCAGGCTGGTTGTTCAGGGTAACACACAGCTATATGGCATCGACTACAAGGAGGTATTCGCTCCCGTGGCCCGCTATGAGTCTTTGCGGGTGCTGTTGGCATTGGCCACAATTCTAGGACTGGAGCTACACCAAATGAATGTATCTACAGCATTTCTAAATGGTATCCTACATGAAAGTATCTATATGAGGCAGCCATTGGGATT